ATTATTATTAGCCTATTATAACTTTACATTTTTATAAGCCATGATTGTGGGCTCTAAGTAATTATGACTCAGAAGACAGATACCTACTTTAATTTCATCTTTCGTTGATTTAAATGACGTATTTATCCATTAATAATATACCAGGATTAACAGTCGCAACCTGCCATTCTAGTTTATGTTGCTTCTTTGTCAAACCTCATCACCATGATAAAGTGAGTAAGTAAATGGATAAACGCTTGCCGAAGTGCTTCGATACAGTCAATCAATAGTTTAACGAGTACTTAATCGGCAGTAGAAGTAATCACGTGACGACAAAGATATTAGACAATACTGCCGATGTTATTTTCTGATCTTGTAATTAAGAATAGTATTGGAATACTCCCAAAATGGCAATCAGCGATCCTGTTGTAGAATAGCAAGTTACAATTAATTGACGTTTGCTGAGATGGCCACTCTTAAACAGGGATTTCAGAATAGATGGATAATGATTTCCTTCCCATCGGATTTTTATGTCAAGATACTTCAACCCATAGATGTATGGTGTCTCAGAGGGTTTTTTTATTATATTTGTGAATCTAAAGTTTTTTTTTATCGAGGTCCATAAATGTATAATAAAAAAAAAACGTTGACACTTTTATGAAAGGATAGGGTCAGAAGAATTGTTTTAAGAAATTTGCAATAATAAACATTTTCTTTTTAGGGCAATATTGGAAAATATTGATCTGAATAAGTCGTTCTTATAAAAAAAAATACATGAAGGGAATAACAACTGAAGGTAATAATGTTTGCTTAGGGTCACTATTTTCCAATAAGCTTCATAAATAACTTGAATTTAAAATCAAATCACCTTTTTAAGTAATCTAGCCTATATCTAAGCATACTGCAGGCCATAAATCTTGGCTACATTTTGTTTTCCGGGCAACAATCATCAGGTTTGCTAGCCAGGGCCTAACTTTTTTATAAGTATTTTTCGTTCTGGGATTATAGTAAAATTACGGACTTTTATTCATTCAGTCAAGATTCAAGATCCCCCAAAATTTCCTGAGAATCTAGATTCATTTTATTTCATCATACGTAAAACTATATACATTATTTATTTATTTTTTTATTTGCTGTCGGGATTATACAATGGTTAACCAGAACAGTCTGTCTTGCATGCAAGTGTCTATCATTTTCCTGTCTCTTTTAAGCAACTAGTCCAAAAAAATATTTCTTAGAGTCGCCATTTTGGTCTATTTTGCTTGTAATGCTTCCAGACGACCAATTCAAAAATTATGTGCCTTCCTCTCACTTGAAAGGTTCTGCATACCATGGACGTCTTGTGATGTTTTAGGTTTATGTATTCCCCTGTACAATCCGTGTTAGTTCAGTGATATGCTTAACAGTTTTTGCGGACTACATTTTTTACCGATTTTCTATATTCCATGTTTCGACCGCACAGGAGAACGCTTTTTGTAATGGCTTCGAACAGCTGCATTTCGAGTCTATAAGAGTAGTGATGATTTCCAGTGCTAAGTTTGTTGCAAGTGAGCAATTCCTTTGATGTATTGCTGAGTATCCATAACCCAAAAAAATCCCAAAATCTGAAGTATGACTTCTTCTAGTATGCTGCCACCTTTAGTTTGTACGCTCCTATTGGATGATTAAACGCTATGAATTGTTTTTACTATGGACCTACAATATTGTAGACCTATAAATGGCGTGCATCACTCTGTACACTACATGTCTGAGCACTTCCTGTTCTTGTAAAGCAGTGTCATAAAGTACAGTAGCAAAACTGGGAGCGAAATTGAGGTGTTAGTCGAATCATGGAGGTATACCTCCATGGTTTAATCATGACTAAAGTTCCTACGAATCATAATACGCTTAACCTAAATAGTTATGAATTTCATTCTTCAATGTCATGTTATGAAGTACGAAGAGACAACTTTATTGCATTTCCTATAAATCAAAAGAATAAAATTGAGGTTTTTAACGTTGAAAATTATAGATACATTAACATCTTACCCCTCGAGACAGAATTACAAAACATATACGTACAAAGGTTTCCAACTTTTATATAATTACGGCAGCCTTGCAATCATTGCCTACTCGTGACATTCTCATACTTAAACCCACGTCGTTTATTGTGTGCGTAAAAATCAGATCATCCAAACACCGGATGCCGTACACTGGATGTTTTATTGTCTGAAACTCTGATGTACTGCAAGGCTTATGCGGACGTAAATTCAGGCTGATGTCAACTCGTAAGAGAACCATTTGGAGCAAGATTATTTAGCTTATAGTTTCCATTGTGTTTCTTCAGATGGATGGGTAGGGTAAATAGTGGTAGGCCTCTACTCGTCGTAGCTACCGCGAAGGCGGCAAGGTGCACATGGAGGAACTGGTGGTGGCGGGATCATAACATGTCTTTTGATAACAGAATCTACTTGTGTTTTACCTGTGAATAGACAAACGAAATCTGTATTAATAATAACATATACTTATTATTATTATTATC